TGTGAATATAGTTAGAGAAAAATAGCTGCCAACTGAAAATTCTATACCCAGTACTTTAAAACTTGTATTTCCTTCTAGTCTCCATGTTGTCTTTTTTTTTTTAATTATTTTTTTTTAATTTAAATTTCTGGTAGTTAACATACAGTACAGTATTGGTTTCTGAAGTAGAATTCAGTGATTCATCACTTACATATAACACCCAGTGCACTTCATAACAAGTGCCCTCCTTAATACCCATCACCCATCTAGCCCATCTGCCACCCATCTGCCTCCATCAACCCTCAGTTTGTTTCCATCATTCGGAGTCTCTTATGGCTTGTTTCTCTCTTTCCTTTTTTTCTTTTTCCCCTTCCCATATGTTCATCTAGATTCTTTCTTAAATTTCACATGTGGGTGAGAGATCATATGGTATTTGTCTTTCTCTGACTGACTTATTTCACTTAGCGTAAAACATTGTAGCTCCATGTCGTCGTTGCAAATGGCAAAATTTCCATTTTTGATGGCTGAGTAATATTCCATTGTGTGTGTGTGTGTGTGTGTGTGTGTGTGTGTGTGTGTGTATACACCACATCTTTATCCATTCATCAGTCAATGGACATTTGGGCTCTCTCCATAGTTCGGCTATTGTTGATAATGCTGATAATACATCAGAGTGCATGTATTGCTTTGAATCTGTATTTTTGTATCCTTTGGGTAAATACCTAGTAGTGCAATTACTGGATCATAGGGTAGTTCTATTTTTAACATTTTGAGGAACCTGCATGCTGTTCTCCAGAGTGGCTGGACAAGTTTGCATTCCCAGTGCAAGAGTGTTCCCCTTTCTCTGCATCCTCGCCAACACCTGTTGCTTCTTGTGTTGTTAATTTTTAGCCATCCTGACAAGTGTTAAGATGGTATTTCATCATGGTTTTGATTTATATTTCCCTGATGATGAGTGACGTTGAGCACCTTCTCATGTGTTTGTTAGCCATCTGGATGTCATTGTTGGAAAAGTGCCTATTCATGTCTTCTGTCCATTTCTTAACTAGGTTATTTGTTTTTATTTGGGTGTTGAGTTTGATAAGTTCTTGGTAGACTTTGGTACTAACCCTTTATCAGTTTTGCCGTTTGCAAATATCTTCTCCCATTCTGTAGGCTGCCTTTTAGTTTTGTTGATTGTTTCCTTTGCTGTGCAGAAGCTTTTTATCTTGATGAAGTCCCAATAGTTCATTTTTGCTTTTGTTTCCCTTGCCTGGGGTGACATGTCTAATAAGAAGATACTATGGATGAGGTTCAAAGAGGTTTCTGCCTGTGTTCTCCTCTAGGATTTTGATGGTTTCCGGTCTCACATTTGGGTCTTTAATCCATTTTGAATTTATTTTTGTGTATGGTGTAAGAAAGTCATCTAGTTTCATTCTCCTGCATGTTGCTGTACAGTTTTCCCAACACCATTTGTTCAAGAGACTTTTTTCCATTGGATATTCTTTCCAGCTTTGCCGAAGATTAGTTGACCATATAGTTGTGAGTCCATTTCTTGGTAGTCTACTCTAGTCTATTGATCTGTGTGTCTGTTTTTGTGCCAGTACCATACTGTCTTGATGACTATAGCTTTGTAGTATAGCTTGAAATCCAGAATTGTGATGCCTCCAGTTTTGTTTTTGTTTTTTAGAATTGCTTTGACTATTTGGGGTCTTTTGTGGTTCCAGACAAATTTTAGGACTGTTTGTTCTAGCTCTGTGAAAAATGCTGGTGGTATTTTGATGTAAATATGTAGATTGCTTTGGGTAGCACATTTTATCAATGTTTGTTCTTCCAATCCATGAGCATGGAATGCTTTTCCATTTCTTTGTGTCCTCTTCAATTTCTTTCATAAGTGTTCCATAGTTTTCAGAGTACAGATCTTTTACTTCTTTAGTTAGATTTATTCCTAGGTATCTTATTGTTTTGGTGCAACTGCAAATGAGATCAATTCCTTGATTTCTTTTTCTGATACTTCATTTATTGTTATATAGAAATGCAACAGATTTCTTGATTTTATATCCTGTGACTTTGCTGAATTCATGTATGAGTTCTAGCAATTTTTTGGTGGAGTCTTTCAGGTTTTCTACATAGAGTATTATGTCATCTGCAAATAGTGAAAGTTTGACTTCGCTTGCCAATGCAGCAAGGGAATAAAGGTCCTTAACTTACAGGGGAAGACAGGTTCACAGAAGATTTGTCCACAGAGACTTGGCAAGCCAGACAGGAATGGAAGGAAATATTCAAGGTGCTGATTGGGAAAAATATGCAGTCAAGAATTCTTTATTCAGCGAGGCTGTCATTCAAAATAGAGAGAGAGATAAAGAGTTTCCCAAACATAAACTGAAGGAGTTCATGACCACTAAACCAGCCCTGCAAGAAATTTTAATGGGGACTGTGAGTGGAGACAAAATGACCAAAAGCAACAAAGACAAGAAAGGGTCAGAAAACAAAACCAGAAATACCAACTCAACAGGTAACACAATGGCACTAAATTCCTATCTCTCAATAATCGCTCTGAATGTAAATGTGCCAGTCAAAAGATATAGGGTATGAGAATGGATAAAAAAACACAATCCATCTATATGCTGACTACAAGAGGCTCATTTTAGACCTAGTCTCCATGTTTTCTAATGAAAATTCTGCTGTCTTTCAAGTCATTGTTTCCTTATGGTAATGAATCTGGGTGCTTTTAGGATTTATGTCTTTTGTATTCAGCAGTTTAACATGCATTTATTTGGGTTTACCCTGCTTGGAGTTGGCTCAGCTCCTTGAATCTGTAGATTTATGTATTTCAGTTTCAGATGTTCCATTTGTAGTAGTAACAAAGATCAAATACATAGGAATAAATGTAATAAATATGTGAAGCCTATAGAAAAAAAAAGTTAAAACACTCATGAAAGACACAAAAGTGGTTTTCAAAAAAGGTAAAGACATTCCCTATTCTTAGATGGGAGTCCACATTCTTAAGATGCACTTCTCTCTAAACTGATTTATAAATTCATGAAATCTCAATAAAGACACCAAAAAGCTATTTTATGGAGCTAGGAAAATCTAATACTAACATTCATATAAAAAAATAAACATACAAGAATAACCAGGAACACACAGAAAGAAAAATTACAAGGAGTCTAGTTGTAATAATCTTTAAAATACACCATAAAACCTATGTAATTTAAAATGTATTATCACATGCATAGAAAAATAAGACACTGGTAATAAATATAAAATCATAAATAAATACCAAATATGCTTATTTAGTATATGATAAAGGAGGCATCTCAGATCATTAGGAAAAGTGTGGACTTTTTAATAAATGATGATGGTATAACTGGGTAGTCATTTGGATAAAAATAAAATTAGATACACATCTCACATGATAACAAGAATAAGCTACAAATGGATTAAGGACCTAAATATTAAAAAGGAAACCATACAAGTCTCAGAAGGCAACATGGGTGAATTCCTCTTCAAATTCAGCATAAGGTAAGACTTTCTAACTATGTTTCAAAATTCTAAGACAATAAAAGATTGATATATTTGGCTTTGTTGAAATTAAAATATTTGTATGTCTAAAAAAAGTCATAAAATCAAAGTCAAAAGATAACTCACACACTGAAAGAATATATTTGTATCATATACTACAAAGGATTGATATCTCTAATATATATGGGACACAGGATCAAAAACCTGATGGACAAATGGGAAAAGGACATGACAGTGTTCCTAATGGCCAACACTATAACAGCTTAAGCAATACAAATAAATAATGATATTACTGCATAATGATCTTAAGAATAAAATTTAAATATACATTAGTCCATTCAAATATACATTAAAAATTGAATAAATAAATGGTGATAAAGGATAGATAATCCTTTAAGAATAATTGCAATTAAAAAATATAAAAGGAAAGCAGAAAACAGAACACCACCATTAGGCAAATACCAACAGTCATAACGGTCTCAGACAAGATCCACTGATGAATGGTAAAATAAATAGGCACAAATTTTTAGAGAAGGAAAATATTTGCAGAGTCACAAAATACCTCCCCCAAGATATTTATTACAAAATGAAGAAACTTGTAACTTCATTATGGTGAAAAAATTCAGTGTATATACCACCTTAATCAATTTATCAAGGTTAAAATCACAAAAAAAACATCAAGAACATGACCATGTTGATGCAACACACTGAGAAGGACTCATTACTTCTGTGGTATTCTTGGCAAAAATGCACAGCCACGTTCTAATCATAAGAAAATATCAGACAGATTGAAAAAGGAAGAGCGTCCTATAAAACAACTGTCTGGTATGTTTAAAAAGGTGTCAAGGCCATGAAACAAGGAAAGATGGAGGAATTATCCTAGAAAGGGGCCGACTACAAAGACAAGATAGCTAATTATGAATTGTTACCCCAGACTAGATACTGGGACAGGAAAGGAACATTAAAAAGAAAACTGATGGAAATTGAATAAGGTCGGTAATTTCATTAAAAATATTATACCAACGTTATTTCCTGATTTTGATAATTGTACCGTGGTTACATAAGATGTTAACAGAGGAAGATGAAAGGTATCTGAGCATTCTATGTACTATTTGTGCAGTTCTTCTATAAGTCTAAAGTGAAATACAGAAAAGTTTTGAAAAGCAATTTAGAAAAACTGTACTAATACAGTGATAGAAAACAATTCAGTGTTACCAGGGGGTCAGGGAAGGGGGGAAACGCCTAACTACCCAGGGGCACAAGAGAACTTTTTTGGATGATGAAAATGTTCTATACTGTGATTGTATTCAGAGTCACAGGACAGTATTCAGTTGTCAAAACTCACTGAATTGTGTACTTAGAGCAGTAAAATTTTGTTTTATGTAAATTACACCTCAATCCAGCAGACAAAATAAAGAATTTCAAATGTAAATACAATCTTTAAAAACAAGTGTTGGGTTGCAATCCCAATATAAGCAGAATGGAGAAACATCAAATAAGATTATATGTGCTCTTACCAGATTAATTAACTGTGTGTGTACCACATCTTCTACCAAAACTGCTGTTTCATGTAGAGGCCTCCTAGCATCACCTAAAGAAAACCTGCCAAAAAAAAAAAAAAATTTAGCATACCAATATTAAAAACTAACAAAGGCAAAAAGTGAAAGATATTGATTATCATAATCTGTTAATAAAGTATAACTTGTTCTCTCAAATATTCAGAGTGGATGTACAATTTTCTATGGACAAAGAATTGCATCTCTCCCACACAAGCTACAACTTCCAAAGAAAATGCAGTGTTAGCTATGCTATTTCTTGATCTGTGCAGTCATTTTTAAGGGCATTTACTATTTCAAATAGAAAATATTAACAACTACTTCATAATATTGGCCACTAGAAAATCATGTTACCATACCCAAAGTACTAATAAAGTAACATACTAATAGCCATTTAGAACATTATAAAAGCATGCAATGTAATTAAGCAAGTAATGTAATTAAAATGAAAAGTTGCTTAGAAAAATTTATATAAATGCCACAATTTATCATTTCTAATTATATACAACAGATTGTCAAGAATGGATTATTAAAAGTACTTAAAAGTACTTTTCTCAACTTTCATATGGTGGACCAGATATGCAGAGAATCCCTTCCTGGTAAAGGACGTTTGAAAATGCACAATACTATATTAACAAATTACATTTAAAGTTTGTTTTAACCATCAGTGTAGGAGATAGAAGGCTGAGAAGATGAGAAAATACAGTTCCACTGGATATAGAGCCCTGCAGCAAAAATTTATTCTGAAGGCATCTAATTATTCATAGTAGCCAATAATCTGGATTTCATCTGGCATTGTATTCAGGATATAGCAAAGAATGCTGGGAACCCAAGCAAGGCAGGAGATCAGTTTGAGGAACCAAATATGAAGTCAGTGATGATTTGTGTGTGAAAGCACTTTGGCTATCTTGTCTGAGGCTATGGGTGAAAGAACAAAAAATGTAATGCTGGCATGAGGATAGACAAATGGAATAGAATAGAAAGCCCAGAAATAAAACTTTGCATTATGTACAACTGATTTTCAATAAGGGTACCAGGAACAACCAATTTGGAAGGGACAGTCTTTTCAACAACTGATGCAGGGAAACAAGATATCCACATGCAAAAGAATGAAGTTGGATTCTTACCTTGTACCATATAAAAAAATAAACTCAAAATAGATCAAAGACCTAAATTAAAAAAGCTAAAACTATAAACCTCTTAAAATAAAACCAGGAAATCTTCATGACCTTGAATTTGGCAAGGGTTTCTTAACTAGGACACCAAAATAACAGGCAACAAAAGAAAAAATAAATAAATTGGAACTCATCACAATTACAAACCTTTATACATCAAAGGACAAGACAGTGAAAAGACAACCCACTTAATAGGAAAATATTTGAAAATAATATATCAGATGAATTACCAGAATATATTTATAAACTCTTATAACATAACAATAAAGAAAAGAAATCCCAATTTTAAAATGGGCAATAGGCTTGAATAGATATGTCTCCAATGAAAATATACAAATAGCCAATAGCAAATGAAAACATTCTCATATCATCAGTCATTAGACAAATACGAATCAAAACCACATTGAGATGCTACTTCAAACTCAGAAGAATGGCTATTGTCAACAAAATGGAAAGTGCTGGCTAGGATACAGAGAAACTGGAAACACTGTACATTGCTAGAGAAAATTCAAAATGGTACAGCCACAGTGGAAAAACAGTTGGGTGGTTCTGGAAAATGTCAAACACAGAATGAGCTTTTGACCTGGCAATTCCACTCATGGGTATATACCTCCAAAGAAATGAAAATTGAAAACAGGGATTCAAACAGGTATGTGTACACCAATGATCATAGCTACATTATTCAGAATTGTCAAAAGGTAGAAACAACCCAAATCTCCATTAACGAATGAATAAACAAAATATACACATATAACTAAATATTATTCAGCAATAAAAAGGAAAGAAGTTCTGATACATGCTCCTACATGAATGAACTTTAAAAACAGTATGCTAACTAAAGCCAGACAAAAATGACAAATATTGTATGCTGCCACCTATATGAGTTACCTGTAATAAGAAAATTCATAGAGGGCGCCTGGGTGGCTCAGTTGGTTAAGCGACTGCCTTCGGCTCAGGTCATGATCCTGGAGTCCCGGGATCGAGTCCCGCATCGGGCTCCCTGCTCGGCAGGGGGTCTGCTTCTCCCTCTGACCCTCTTCCCTCTTGTGCTGTCTCTCACTCTCTCTCTCAAATAAATAAAATCTTTAAAAAAAAAAAAAAAAGCTTTAAAAAAAAAAAGAAAATTCATAGAGACAGGAAGTAGAAAAAAGGACACAAGGGGATTGGAGAGTTTTTGCTTAATGTGTAGAGAGTTTGTCTGGGATGATAAGAACTTCTAAACAATAAATAGTGATGATGATAGCAAAGCATTTTGAATGTATTTCATGCCAGGGAATTGTACAGTTAAAAATAAGTAAGTGGTAAATTTTAAGTTATGTATGTTTTACCACAATAATTAATATGGATGAAAAAAAATTAACCAGACTAGATTCAGCTATAAAGGTAATTAGGGTTCAGAACAGCAGATCTGAGGAAATTACCCGTAACACACCATGGGTAATAACAAAATATCATGATCAATGTTATGCCAAATATGTTGATACTGTGGTGAAATGGATAAATTTCTAAAAAAAAAAAAAATAGAAATGCCCAAAGCTGACTCAAAAAGAAATAAAAAACCTGAAGTTTTATAAATTTTAAAGAAATTAAATCAGCAGTAAAAAATCAAAGCCCAAACAAAACCCAAGCAAACGTACCTCATCTGTAATTTTGTATCAAACATGCAAAGAATAGATTATTCTAATTTGATAGAACTTTTAAAGAGAATACAAAAAGATATATACTCCCTAACTCATTTATTTAGGCTAGTATAACCTGGGTTTCAAAACTAGAAAAACAGTGAAAAAAAGTAAAATTACACATAAGTTTTACTCATGTACATAAACAGAAAAAAAAAACACCATAATTAAAAGGCTTGAATAAAACAAAAGGTAGAATGAGGGGGAATTTACTTTCCCTCCTACCCTTCTCCTATGACCTTATGGGAGCTCCCTATGATCAACTAACAGAAAAAGAGAAGACTCAGGCCCTGGTTTACATATGGTCCTGCATGATATGCAGGCACCACCTAAAAGTGAACAGGCTGGAGCACTGCAGTCCCCTTCTAGAACATCACTCAAAGACAGTGGTGAAGGAAAATCCTCCCAATGGGAAGAACTTTTAGCAGTGCATCTAGTTGTTTATTTTATTCGAAAGGGCAAATGGTCAGATTTGCAATTATATACTGATTCATGGGCTATGGTCAATGGTTGGCTGAAAAAATGGCAAGGAACATGATTAGAAAATTGATGAGAAGGAAATTAGGGGAAGAGGTCGGTGGACAGATTTCTCTGAACGAGAAAAAAAAGGTGAGGATATTTGGATCCCGTGTGAATACTCAGGGGCAACCTCAGCAAAGGAGAATTTTAATAATCAAGTGGATACTATCAGTTTTTTTACCCAATCACCCTGTCATCATTCAATGGGGCTCATGAACAAAGTGGTCATGGTGGGAGGGATGGAGGATATGCAGGGCCCAGTAACATGGAATTCCACTAATCAATGCCATCATTGTTACAGCCCCTGCTGAGTGCCCATCTGTCAGCTGCAAAGATCAACACTGAGTTTCTAAACTGGCACCATTCCCCAGGGTGATCCGCCATCTTCCTTGCAAAAGGTTGATTACATTAGACCACTCCCATCACGAAAATGAAAGGGTATGGTTCTTACTAGAATAGACATTTACTCTGGATATGCATTTGCTGTCCCCACATGCAATGTCACTGCCAAAACTACCATCTGTGAACTTACAAAATGCCTTATCTGTTGTCATGGTACTCCATACAGCATTGTTTGTGATAAAAAAACCTCACTTCATAGCAAAGGAAGTGGTGCACTGGGTCCATGCTCAAAGAATTCACAAGCACTAGTCTTAACATGTTTCCCACCATTATGAAGTAGCTGATTTGACAGAATGGTGGGAATGGCTTTTGAAAATCCAGTTACAGTGCCAACTAGGTGGCAATACCTTGTAGAGCTGGGGCAAGGTTTTCCAGAACACTTATACATCCTGTGAATCAACAACCAATATATGGTGCTGTTTCTCCCACAAGTAGGATTCACAAATCCAGGAATCAAGGGGTGGAATGGTAGTAGCAGCATTCATTATTACCCCTAAAGACCCACTAGCAAAATTTTTGCTTCCAGTTCCCATGACCTTATGATTTGCTGGCCTTGAAGTCTTTTCCAGAGGAAGGAATGCTTTCACATTTATTCCACTGACACAACAATTATTCCATTGAAATGAAATTTTAAGACTGCTGCTCAGTCACTTTGGATTCCTCATGCTTCTGAGTCAACAAGCAAAGAGGGAGTTACTGTGCTAGCTGGGGTGAGTGATGTTGACTACCAAGTGGAGACTGGACTGGTTTGCCACAGTGGAGGTAAGGAAGAGTATGTCTGGAATACAGGAGATCCCTGAGGCCACCTCTTAGTAGTACCATGCCCTGTTATTAAAACCAATGGAAAATTACAACAACCCAAACCAGGAAGGGTATTAATGGCCCAGATCCTTCAGGAATGAAGGTTTGGGTCATTCCACCAGGCGAAAAGCCACAACCAGCTGAGGTGCTTGCTGAAGGCAAAGGGAATACAGAATGGGTAGCAGAAAAAGGTAGTTACTAATACCAGCTATTCACATTACCAGTAACAAAAACAGGACTGTAATCATTATATTTCCTCCTTGTTTTGTTATAAATATGTTTTTGTGTGTGTGATTATTGGGCAAATACTGTTGTTTCCTTCCTTTCCTTATTCCCTTATCATGTAACGTAAGACGTATTGGATTAATAGCATAATATTTAATTATTATGTTTACATCATAGTAGTTAACTTAGGGATATTAAGAAGTGTAAACATCACTCAAAGAATTAACCTCATCTTCTGGGAAATG